TTTTTTTTCTCTTTCCCCCCCCCCCCCCCCCCCCCCCATTATTGAAAACGCTTTTGTCTTTTCCGTCTGCTCAAGGAAACAGCCTCTTCTGAGCTGTAGGTCAATTCCCACAAGGAGGCACATCATTATTACTGGGCATTGTGCTACCTATTGTGGGAGCCCACTTAAGGTCTCCCACATCTCTGACCTCATCCCTGGCTCATCCTTGGAGATCCTTCTCCTGCGCCCTTTCAGTTGTTTCTTCATTTGCATGTTTGTCGTATAACCCCCCCCCCCCGTGTTGCCATCCTCCCCAGCTACCAAACAATCCCACCCCCCGCCCCTCCACGTAAGAAATCAGTAGCCTTCTGTTTTCAAGCTGCAGCAATTGGAGGTCACAGCTGACAGCTAATGTCTCTATTTGCCTATCATTACGGTGGGGGAGGGGGTGGGAACTCGAAAAAAACCAAACTTGTGTTTTGTCGATAACATCTATATTTGTAAATGATCTTTTTTTAGGGATAAGGATTATCCTGTTTGGGCTTTTGTTTCACTTGGTGGGGCCAGCTGGAGCTGCTCCTCCAAAGCTGATAGAAAATTTGCCGTTTCAAATCTATTTCTAGGGAGGCACTTTTGGGGGGGGGGCCAAGGGTGAGAAATCAACCTGTTTCTTTTCTGCCATTCTGATTGGTGCGATAACGTTGACAAGCCGATCGCGTCAAAAGGAAATATCCTTGGCTTAATTGTAAGCTAAGTCTCTCTTAATCCAGGGGAGCATTTGAGATTCTGTCCAAGTGTTCAATTTCCCAGGCCGCTGAGGTCTGTGAATTTCTTTCCCCAGCCTCCAGGCTGCTGCAGCACAAGTCAGCATAGCTAATGCAGATAGATCTCTCCCCCTCGCGCTCTCCCGCACTCGCTGCCTCTCCCTCTCCCTCTCCCTCTCTCTGCTTTGATTCGATATGAACAGACTGGTAACTCCAATGCCAGAGCGAAATCTGACATAACTCTGCAGATGGCTACGTTCGGATGATACACCTAGGGATTTTCTTTTTTTTCCTTGAAGGAAGGTAATATTTGTATGCTAACGTTTCTTTTTTTTCCCTTGTTGCCATTTTTCAGGACTGCCAGTCCCAAAGAAGAGCCCAAAGTCGGTAAGCACTCTTTCTACGTGTGTGTGACTTCCTTCTGTTTGTCTCCGTCGTAAGGCAAGGGGCTTGCTTGTGCGTCGGGCTTTTTTTTTTTTTTCCCCCCCCCCGTCTCGTTATTATTATTTTGGTGTGGATTGTTTTAAGTTGTCTGGCTGTGGCCACAATGCCCACCGTGCAGGGTGTGCGCTGCATGGTGAGATGAAAGAGGAAAGCCGTGCAGGAAGGGAGCTTGCCTGCAAATACAGCTGGAGATGCACAGATCCTCGTCCCCGACGGATGAGCCGCTCGGCAGTTTAAGTTGCCCCCTCCTCAAATGTCATTGTTTCCTTTCTTTGCAAGATGGGAGGCTCCACCTTCTTTCCAGAGAGCAGTTCCCATCGGAGGTGTCCGGGGACTCCAACCTTTGGCATGAACTCAGTGTCTTCTCATGCACCAGGAGATGAATTATTTACCAACTACAAAAGCAGGGCAGTTTACGGGGGGTGAAATGGGGGGGAGGCCAGGCATGTGCAAGGTGCGTCTCCAGGTTCACGGGCATGCCGTGAGCTGCCGTGAGACTGGGAACATCTGGCTTGCTGTGTGGGGGGCACCCTTTGTTCCTTGGCTCGCCTTTCGCAGCATTTCGCTCTCAGCGCGAGATCCTTTTCAACGCGAAAGAGAAAGCAATGATTTCCTGTCCTTTCTCATCTGGTTTCCACGTACAGCTGTTACCTGGTTGACATGTTAGATAATGGCTTGGAGGCTCTCCTCTAAAGTGTGCTGAAAGCCCCGCTCCTCCTCCAGCGTTAAGAGCTGAATATGCTCTTTTGAGCCAGGAAAAGGGGGCGCTTATTTTATAGGGAATGAGAGGTTAGCAAGGTGGATTTGAAAGGGGCTGATTCCTGCACAGCTTTGCCGAGTGAAACTTCCCCAACGGTCCACCGTGGGTGCCGGCAGCAGCAGCCCGTAGCCGTGCAGCCAGGTGAGAGGTTTAATACGGAAATGAGCAGCAATCTCCTGCTTTTAATATGAGTTCCCTGTTCCTCCTAAAAGATAGCCCTGAAATAATTAATGCGATTCCCGCGGCTCAGGGGAGCGCTGATTAAAGTCACATGACTTCAGGCCTATAGCATTGTCAGCTTGCATTAATGTTGAGAGGGAGAAGAGCAGTTTGTGCTCACACTCCGATCACAGAAATGTCAGGCCGTATGCATTTACTTCTGTGTCATAGTCAAAGATTAATTCAGCCCTTGGTAAAATAGAAACAAGTGTGTAAAATATGTACGAGCCCAGCAAATTTTTTTTTTTTTCCTACCCCCACCCCCCAGCTGTGTGTTTCCTTTCCCCCATCAAAGAAGGTTTCTCTGGATTTGATTTAAGATAGTGTAACCCTTGTTATTTAAACCAGCTCTGGGAAATGAACTTTGAGTTTTAAAACTGGGCCCCCTCGCAGGATCAGATCAAGCAAAATCTCCTTTATTAATGAGTGGCTGTATTAAACACCTGTCTAGTGAATGGTGTCTCTTCAGCAGCATTTAAATCTGTGCAGCATCTCAATCCACTTAGAGATTATCCTCCCTGGATGAAGAGCGAGACTGTTTGCAAACAGGTGTTGTCCTGGAGCCTTCAGTGAATCCACCAGCCTCAGGTGCAGTTGGTTTTTCCTGGAGGTTGTTTGCAGAAGCTGCTTTGCTCATTGAAAGCAGCCCAGTTCTTTGGACATCGTGCTCCTGGAAGGCTGCTTCCTCTCCTGCCCTTCAGCATTTTTCACCAAAGCCATTCACCTGTGGTTCTCAACTTTTTTGGACTTGGGGCCCCTCAGTAACTTTGTGAATTTCGAAATCTAATTTATAGCTTGATAGATTGTGGATGGTCCTGCTTTGAGCAGGGGGTTGGACTAGATGTGACCTCCCTGAGGTCCCCTCCAGCCCTCATTTTCCAGTACAATGCTTCCTTCCTTGCACAGGGGCTGGGCAATAGGGTGGGAGATTGTCTAGGGAGGACCCTAAGCCTGGTTTATCTGCTTAGCTTATCTGCTGATCTCCTCACCCCTCACTTATCTCCCACTCCCCAAAAAAGGAAAAAAAAAAGTGAGCTTTTTCCCACAAAAAGGAAGAAACTGCTAAAAACACTGTTTTCCCCCGCTGTTTAGGTATAGGAAGTGCTTTGCACTCGCAGCTTAAAACAGTATATCAAGGCAGCTTATTGTAGTCTGCAAGATTTAAGGATCCTGTTGTGCAAAGGTAAAAGAACAAAATGATCAACTTGCAACATACAATCCATCATTTAGTCTTAAGCAAAAGAATAAACACAATAACATTATCAATCCAATATTTATAGCTGCTTCCTTTGCATAGTGTAATAAATGGAGGTTTCATGTTTAACCGTGTTAAGAAGCTTAGAAAGAACGGGTTTCAAGACACAGTTGCATCAGCTCTAAGCTTCGCACTCCAGTCTCTGCAACCTGTTCCCAGGTGGGGTGGGATTGCTAAGGAGCTCCCTGAATGGTGCAGATATCGCATCCTCGTGGCACTAACGCCCCACTTCCCTCAGTACTCCTCGAGGCAGGCTGGCTGCACCTGTAAGATCCCCGACATGGGTCTAGTGTAGCTGTTGTCCTTCTCTTGCCCTCGCTCTTCTCTACGAAGCCCTGACAAAATATTTACTTCTTGATTAATAAATGAGCAGCTACTAAAGCAGCATCCCACAGTCAGTTCTTAGGTTAGTAGACTGACCCTAGCCCCAGCTTGCCTTTTCTGAATGGCCTTAAAGAGTGAACTCAAGCAACTTCAGTGATTTCTCCAGCTCCTCCACCCAATTTGTTGCCCATCCTCTTCCTTTCCTCCATCCTAATGAAGCACCAGTGCATTCCTGTCCTCAGCCTGTGGTCCATTTCTTAAACATGCCCTGGTTTTTAGCTGGTTTTGATCCACTAACCTACTCCCATCAGGCCACATCTGTGTCACTGTGGGCTTTTGCCTCCAGAGGCAGGCCTGGAGAAGAAATGTTAGGCCCTCGGGAGGTTTGGTGGTAGCACCACAATGGTGCTGCATGTGTTGTCTGTTCTAAAGAGAATAATGTATGTGCAGACACAGGGCAAAGAAATAACTGCATTTCTGAGAGGGTATTTAGAAGATTTTACGTCTTCCATTGTTATTTCATAACTATCAGTTGATGTGCTATGACCGCAGTTCAAGGTATTCTTCTCTGCTCATTTGCTTCGTAGAGTTTTTCAGGTTGGGGCGCAGGGCCCAATTTGTAAAATGTCCCACGATCAGATTTTTAAGTTCTCGTGCGTGGAGCTGGCTAGAAATTTTCAGGAAAAAAAACCTCCCCCTCCCATCATCCCCAGAGGAAATGTGGATTGTTTTTATTAGATGGACAAGTTCACAGAGCATGCCTGCTTTTTGTGGCTGTGTCTGATTGTCTGAGGGAGAGCCAAAAGTGAAAAACCTCGACCAAAAATTTAAAATCTTTCCATTTTCTACAGTTTGGGGTGAACATTTACATTTTTCAGGGGGGGCGGTTTGATGAAAAGTAGATGAGTTCTCCTGAAGCCATTGAAGTTCGTTCTGCTCACCCTTCATAATCATGGCCAGATCCACTGCAGGCCTCAATTCCCTCCAGCCACCAAGATATGCCATGCAAACATAAGAGCTAAGGATTTTGAGAAGAGCTAATGCTGCCTCCTCCTCCGTTCCCCTCCTCTCTTCCACACCCTTGTTTAGATATCTAAAGAGAAGCATTTTCAGGAGAGCTCAGCCAAGCTACAATGCATTCAACTTACAGTTTTGCCCTTCGGCTCGTGTGCATTTAGCTGGTGTCAGGATCTATGCTGAGTTATTTTTGTCAGGATGAGGAATTGATTATCTGGCCAAAGTGTGTCCATGATGCATCCCTTTTTATGCCCGAAGGGGGACACAAAGGCCTTTTTTCCAAAGCACTAGGAGCAGAATCAGCGGGCCGTGCCCACGATCACAATTTCTGAGCTTCCTTTTCCAGAAAGTCCTGTCCGGGTCTCCCCCAGGGTCATCCTCATCATCACTCCTCTCCCTGTCTAGTAGCTTTGTCCTTGCTTCCTGCCTTTGACACCTGGAAGCACACATTAGTCCCCTGACAGCTCAGGCCTTGAGCTTCTGTCCCAGCCTTGCTACTGCCTTGGGCAATGGCTTCTGCTCGTTCGGCTACCACTACACAAAGCAGCTTTTAATTGCTCCTGTGTATAGGCTTTCCACAGATCTGTTACTGAGGGTTGACACTGGTACCTTCCAGCACTGCACCACTCTCTACTCAGATATCTCCCCTTCCTTTTTTTTTTTCCTTTCTTTCCCCACCATGTAAAATCTGCAGACTCTTTTGTATTGTTTTTCTTTTGCCTCCTGTAATCCTCTCACAGCTTTGGGAGAGGAACGGGGATGGTGCAGTGCACGGTGTAATCCCGTTAGCTTTCCCAAGCGACTAGATTTGGATTGGCATTGTAAGCACATGGAAGGCTGGCTTCTTCCTGAGCTTCATGGAAAATATAGCTATTGAGATTTGAAAGGGTATGGCATAGGGGAAGGATGTAGACAGCTGTATAAACCCCACAGGAAACCTACCCTCCCTACTCCCTGCTCTTTGGTCACTACCCTGGGAAAGGGGGCTTTTATCTTTCCCATGATCAGTGGCCCAAACAAAAACTGTAGGGTAGTTTGTCTGCAGCTTTTGCATTGCAAAAAAAGGGAAAGCTGGTTGACAGAAGAGCTTGTGGGAAGAGGAATATATTTTGGGGAAGGTGATTCTGATAAAGGCTTTGGGAGGTTTTGCAGGCTTACTCCCTCTTGATTGTTTAGGCGAGGAAACCTGGAGCTCCTTGGGTTGGGTTTTGCATGTCTTTGGGCCTGAACAAACTTTTCATTTATTCCAAGGTAACAAAGAAGTAGATGCGCAGTTCATGGCCCTATATCGTCGTAGCTCACTCAAAACCAGTGTAGAATTATGATGGGGGAAAATCAGGGGCAAAGTTACACCAGTGTGAAGTAAGCCAGCATAGATGTCAGATATCCATGACTTATCTCAGGGAAGCCATTTGTTCAGGGTAAACAGGATACTAACTGCCACTTAAGGGTGAGGCACTACAAAAGCACATAAAGGACTATGAGGTTGTCCATTTGCTCCAGACGGCAGTGTGATTTGATTCCCGTGTGCTCGCTTTTTGTCGAAGACATGGGAAGACCGAAAGAAAGTAGAAGGCGCTTGCAAAAGTGTTTCATGTTTCTTGATGAAAACTCCATGGCCATATAAAAATCTCAAGTACCTACACAAAAACAGTGTAGGTCAGGTAGATCCCTTTTCACTTCTGAGCCCTACAAATGTAGCAGATATGTGTATTGGTAGAGAAAGGTTTGTCTCCAAACTTTTTGATTAAGCCGTGGATGAGGATATGTGCGGTACCGTACCTAGATTCCTGGCAGCGCCAGGCAAACTTTTATTACCGGGACCCTCTTTGCCAGAGATAAGGATAATAATATTTGAACAATGGGGAAAAAAATTACCATTTTCGGGCCCCCTTTCTGTTTGGGCCCCAGGCAACTGCCCGGTTCACCCATGTCTGGCTCTGGATACATGGGCAAGTATGCAATTCCTTGAGTGACCTGAATGGAAATGTCCTTACTTTTCATTGCTTTTTTTTCTACATTTAGAATTTCCAAGTTTGCCAAAGTTTGAAAAAAAAAAAAAAAAAACTGCTTTGGTCTGGACAGGTCTTTCACATTTAAATAATTTGTATTTACTTGCATTGATGACCTCAACTTAACGAGATTATTTTTTGTTTGGAATACACACACAGTTCCATTTACATCCCCTGGGCAGAATGGGACTCCAGCTTTGAATGGTAGTTATTAATTATTTCATATAATAAGCTACATAAAGGTGCCTCTTAACAAGGAGGTTGTCCATGATGGCCTTTTTGTTGGGTCTGTTCAAATCTTTGGTGAAGTTTTCCAGGTTCTGCTATCAAGTTTCTATAAGCAAGTTACTTCCAACAAGATGGGCTTCAAACCTGGTGTTCACAGAATCCTATTTATTGTCTTTTAGTTATTTGCCCTTCCCTTACATTCCCTCAAAAAAAAAAAGATAAAATACCTTTTTTTTTCCGTTAGTAATAAAACTCTGATTATTCACAGCTCAGATGCTTTTCAGCAGAAGTCTGCCTTAAAACTGCTTTGTTCATAAACTGGAATTTTGTGCACAGGGAGGTCTGCATGTGAATGAGCTTCTATTGCCACTTAGAAAACCGAAAATGTTTGAAACGGGTTCAGATATTTGTCTTTGAAAACTGGTGGCTGAGCAGTCTCAGCAGGTATGCTCTGCTCAAAATGACTTTAAAGTACAAAATTAATTTCATATTCAAGTCAATGGAGATATCATTTAAAGAGGTGCCAGCGATGGGTCATCCACTTCAGTACAAGTCTCGAATGTCAAAGTAATTTATGCTGCCAGAATCGCCACGCCTCTCAGCCTAAGCCAAAACACAGGCAAAGCTAAAAAAATAAATGGAATATTGTTGAGACGGGAAATACAGTAATTTAGGTTGGTCTTGAAAAACTCAGTCTGATAGCAGTGGGTTTGTATGAGCTTTGGATTTCAGTAGCGTTGGTTGTAGCTTCCTCGGCCTGAAGAAGGGTGTTTGTACCCAAAAGCTTGCAAAGAAGAATTTTTGCAACTATTATTAGTTGGTCTAATAAAAGATATCAGATTTACCCAAAGAACTTTGCCTGCGTTGGATTTAGGTAGACACACACATTTTTTGTTCTTAAAGTATTTAATTAACGAGGAAATCAAATTGCTCATTCCACACACATTGAGGACCCAGTTTGACTGTCATCAGAGTTCAAGGAAATGCAGATGTTACGTTTGAAGCTTCTTCCTAACCCACTTGATGCAACCTGGGCATTGGAAAGAACGGTGAACATACCAAACTATGGACCTGCGAAAGGCTGCAGTCTTTAAACCAGGGAGCAGCTTAAGTGCATGTTTTCCAGCTCATCTTTGTGGATTAAAATTAGATGCTTCATATTACCTGATTACAAGTTTTTGCGGCTGAACACAGAAGGGGGGGAAAAATTCAATTGAACCTAGTTACTTATAATGCAATTTTAAATTTGTTTTATGCCAAGACTTGGAGGGCAGCATGTTTTCTATGATTAAGCGCTTTCCATTTTATATATCTCCTTCTGCCAGTCTGTCCATCAAAATCTGTCATTGGGGAATTTATCCGCACTTAGCAGCAACTGGTGGCAGCCCATGTGTGACATTTCTTTCTTTCTTTCTTTATTTATTTATGTGCATGCAGAAACGGAAGAGTGTGGGGGGGGGAATGATGGAAAACACCCACTTGGAGACCAATAACCGTCTGTTCCTTCTTTCTCTGCTTGCTTTTACTTGCAGCAACCACTTGAAAGGAAAGACAGCCAAAACAGTTCTCAGCATAGCGTCTCTAGCCACCGCAGCGGACACACCGCGTCCCCCATTCACAGCACTCAGGTGCTTCCCGACTACCCCGCCACTGAAGCACCGGCTGCAGATCAACCGGACAACTCTGGGCAGAAAAAGCCAGATCCATTCAAAATTTGGGCCCAGTCCAGGAGCATGTATGAAAGCCGACGTGAGTATTGAACAGGTGTGGTTGCTAAGACTACGGTGCTGGCAGCCAGTCTGATTTTTCTCCGTTAGGAAATGAATTTACTAATTTTTTTATTTTGTGCGTGTGGAAAATAGAGGACTAAACTCATATGTGTGGAGGAAGCAGAGAGGATCAGCGAATTATGTCTGATAGACATTAACAAAGGGTCAGGTTTTGTCTTGGGTGAAGAATGAGCTCGGGCGGCTTTCAGAAAATGGGCTTAGACTATAGGTTTGTGCAAGGAACAGTAATATATTTCAAATATTAAGGTCCTTCCTTTTTACTCTTTTTGAATGCATCTTTAAAATGGGCATTAGGGAGATATTTTTTTTCAAAAGCAAGAGAGAAGAGTTAGGTGTCCAACTCAAATTTCTTCTAGTAGGATAAGAATTTGCTTTGCCCTACATGGAAGTGGCAGGAAACGAGAGAGAAATTTAGTTTGCCAAAATACCGATCAGAGGCTTTTTCCGTCTCACTCTTGGGAGGAAAAATGCTGCTGAGTCTTTTGGCCTTTACCGGCATGTACTACTGTAACAATAGAGAAATCAAGCACGTACAGTAAGCGGCTCTCTGTTAATAATTAATACATGCACTTGGCTAATAGTTCAGCAGGGCTTTGACTCCGCTCCAAGAGTTTAAAATTGGTTTCAATCAGATCTTCCTCTGTAAACAAAATGAACATGCTTGCATCTCTCTAATTACACTGTCTAAGGCAGAAGAACCTCTAAAAGCTTCTCGGAGCAAGAGTTGAAAATAGAAGTATGCTTTCAGAAACAATGGCTATTTTAATTAGGGGCAAGGGAGCTTGAAACTCTTATTGCTAAAGGAACATGTTAGAGAGACCGTTTTTAGCTGTGGAAATGATGAAGAGCTTCATAACACATTAACCAGAGGTTTGTGCAACCGATATAAAATCCACATTACCCCAGAATGGACAGCAGAGGCATGATTTTTTTTTTTCTTTTTGATTTTTTTTTTCCTTCCAACCAGTTGAATCACTTTTAAATCTTATGGCGTGGAGAAAAATAATAACTCATGAGTCAGAGGCTTCCTGGCTGAAGATGCGTCTCTCCGGATCCAGTGTCTCAGCAATGCAGTTTCTGTGTGGCTCTCTTTTCCCTTCCAGACGTACTTGTTCTGGCCATGCAGGCCCAGTTCCTTTTTCAGCCTTATTGGCCCCTCCGGTGGAGAAATGGGGGATGTGGACGGTCCTCTCATCCCATCAGGAGGGGATGAGGGCCATGTAGTCCGTGGCCAGGGCCACTTCCCCCAGAAGCCTTGTGGGAACCGAATCCCCTCTGCCCCATGCCTCCCTGCAGCCTGGCTGTGTAGAAACCATGCTGTCATTGTCTTGGACCCCCTGCAGCTATTGAGCACATTTCTAATTAACTGTTTAGCTCATGCTAATTAGTCATTAGTGTTAGCTCAGCAGCATTAACTCCTGTCTGGATTTCTCAGTGGAAATCTGTGGGCTGACTGGCCCTCTTCCCCCCTTCCAGCTCTGCAATTCTTCCTCGTCCCCAGTTCTCCATCTCTAAGCCCTGTCTCTAAACCCCAGCTTCTTGCTGCTGTGTTTTCCTCTTTCACCTTCCCTCCTTTCCCCCCTCTATCAGTGCATCTACATGAGATGCTACAGCGAAATCGCGACGAGCTCCTGCATCGTAGCTCGTTGCTGCTGCCCAGCAGCAGTGCCAGGCACTAACTGTGATGTGATACACTACTGTGCGTTAGCACCAGGAAGAAACCGTGCAACGACAGTGCTGCATGGTAACGCCAGTTGCTGCACAGTTGCTTAGTACTTGCATTTAGGGCTTGCTAAAGTACTAGATGACTGCACGGTAGCAGCTGCGCAGTCTACCGCATGTGCAGACGCAGCCGAGTCCACCATACGTGTAGACGCAGCCACCATCATGCCTCCACGTTAAGCATGGGCCTGCCTTCTTCTCTGTCTGCAGTCCTCATCTCCCCCTGGCAAGGGTGGGAATTCTGCCTTCTGACTCCCGCTTGCTCATCCCTTTTCCCCCCCTTTGACACAACTTTTCAGGGGAAAGTTTCACCTGGACTTCTTGGCAGCTCTCCTTAGGTATGCGCTGGTGGAAAGATCAAGGATTTACCTTTGCTGAGCCCAGGCCTGTTTCAAACTTGTGGTTCTCTGAGTTGGCTTCAAATCGGGCAATGAAACATGACCATCCTGCCTCTTCCATCTGCTTCCTTACGGCTTGGCTTTGCTGAGTTTCATTGTGAAAGGAAAACCAAGATAGAAAAGGTGTAACCTGGAAGGCACCTCATTTGCACGGAGGGCCAGACCCAGGAAAACTTTGATAGTTGAGTTGACAAAAGATTTTGGACTCAATCCTGCTCTTCTCCCCCGGGGCCCTGGGTGGTGGCAGTCCATAACATGACAGAAGTAAATGGGAGAGCTTGGGTGCCAGGTAGGTACCCCATGCTAAGCCATTTTATTCATGCTGTGCTTAACATTTTGGCCTCAGTTACAGTACACTCATAACATAATATTTACTGGTACTTCAACAGTTAGTGGTGCAGAGATGCCATCGCTTGAGGCTGAAAAGCATCCCTTGTCTGTGGAGTGACATGGTACCCCTTTTCCCATCACACCCCTTCCTGGGCTTGGAAATAAGTCCTTTTTCAGTAAGCTATAAGCAACCCTCTAAAACCACAGGTCCCAAGTGGAGATGTGACACTTAACGAGTGGATATTTACTCATTTATCATAGCTGGATTTAATGTGGAAGTGGAGTTGCAAGCCTAGCACTGGGTTTCTTATGGAAACTATTGTTCTAAAACATAGTAGTGCACAACTTACTAGAGTGCAATCGCACAACTTATTCCTCCTTCTTATTGCAAAGTGCAGATGCAATCCAAGCATCAAGAGCAAGACGAAACCTTTGCGTGGAGTAGATTTGCAATAAGTAGTCCATGAAGTGGATTTAAAAAAAACATCAAAGTATCTAACATCTATGAAACTATAAATGTATGTTGATTTTATGAAGAAATCAAGTAAGGTGAGGTCTTAATGAAGGAGTTAATCCACTAGCAACTTATGGCTGGATTTTGGCTCCTTTTATCTTTGACTATAAAGCGTGCAGAGATGTCTTGATGCACCTTTTGAATGCAGTGGATACAAAGGAAAGATTGATCCTTGGACCATGTCCCAGTTTGGGCAAGAGTTTTATTCCAGCAATAATATGCAGAGATTTCACGTAGTATCACAGTGCCATCTTCTTGAGGATGGGAACAAAATCACCTTGAAGGATACTAAACACCTGAGCAGCTCTTCTAATTGGGAGTAAATTTCAGTCATTGCATTTTCCACTATTTGAAACATGGATAGAGGCAGCCGTGTGGTCGTATGGTGTGGAAATATAATCTTTTTTTCCTTTGCTGAGCGCCCTTTGGCTAGCTGAAGCATATCCTTGAAAGGCAATACTTGGTTCCAAATGACATGTCCATCGCCCACCTTCCAGCCAAACCATATATTTTATATTTATATCGATCACACGTCTTGTGAGATCATGAGGCACTTGCCTCCTTTGCCAATGAGAGCTATACAAGTAAATGCCTTTCCTGGGTATAAAACATTGAATCAGGATTCGTAGCTCAAAACCAGTCCGAGCAGCCCGTGTTCTCCAAAGAAATACTTTCTGTGCCCTGGCCTTGCCGCACAAGCAGCAAAATAATAGCAGCTTCATGCATCCAGTGTGAATTAATAAGTGTGGCAGCATGTGATCCAGGGATCAGTCCTGCAAGGTGCGGAGGACCCTGGCCTCAATCCAGCCAATTTCAACTTCAAGCTTTGAAGCCAGTGGGATTACTTAAATGCTTAAAGCTTAAGCTGGGCTCAAGTGCACCGCACTTGGCTGAATCAAGCCTTTGCAGAAGAGAGGAGGGAATATATAGCTTTCAGCTGAGCGACTCCTGAAACTAGATCATTTGGTGCTGATGATAATTTGCCATTTGATTGTGCTAAGTTTTAGCAGTGTGGTCTCCTCTTTATGCATAGCTCATTACTGCTAATTAGAGTTCTATATGTGTATCAGAGGGGAGACGTTAGCACTGAGTTGGAAAAAAAAAAAAAAAAAAAAAAAGACC